ATGTGGAAGAGTAGTAATGAAGAACCATGGCACTTGCAGATTGCCAATTCTCTCACACCAGAAATGACTTGCAGTTTTGCAAGTCACTCCTGATACACACAAAAAAAATACACTCTTATACTGGATGCAGGTTATGCATTTGGACAAACAAATGTTTGAGCACTCTCATTTATTTAAAAGTAATCACAGTTTTTTTCATGATCTGTACAATCAAAGGACTTTGTCATAATCTGTAAAGCACAGGCTGATTTTCACCTGAAATTAATTGGTTAGCTCCACTATCCAATGTTTGCAATATGATCCCTCGTTCCCTGGTTCCTCTTCCTTTCCTGTAGTCAGTTTGGACATCTGGCATTTCCCACTCTAGACATGGTCAAGGGCTTTATTGTAGAACTTTGAGCATCACTTTCCTTGCAAGGGAAATTAAATCAATGGCCCCATGGTTACTGCAATTCTTACTGTCAGCAGAGGCAGCTCAACCCATTACGCAAAGTAAGCATTTGCAGTATAGTTTATTTTGCCCAGGGGCGCTCTTGAGGCACTGTTGGGGGAAAATAAACCTTGACATATGCGAGTTGTAGTTACTGGGATGTATAGTTCACCTACAATCAAAGAGCATTTTGAACTCCACCAATGATGGAATTGAACCAAATATGGCACACAAAACTCCCATGATGAACAGAAAATATATATCAGTGATTGGTTGGGGGGGGGGGGCAAAATACTGTTTGCTTACCATTGAAAATTACCTTGGGCTGCCTCTGACTGTCAGCTTTCTCTGGGAGTGGAATATACAGTTTATCGAGTGTTTCCCATTTCTGGACCATTCTTTTGTTTTTCAGATTTTAATTAGAACTACAGTAAACCCTGTCTCAAAATAGGCATCCTATTAAATACTTCCTTTTCATCTAAGGAAAAACATATCTTCTTGGAGCTGAAAATACTTTAAAATCAATCAACAGAAGACAAGCTACTCTAAGCAAATATGGCAAAGAGTGAAGAAAAGCCTTCCAAAGTGTGTCCGGAAAGGGACCCCTGGGTGTTTCATCCTTTGACATTAAAAGAAGGTTAGCAAAGAGCAACTATAACACAATGTTGTAGTGTTCAGGGTCCCCCCAAAGGATTTTAGCAACTCAGTTTGAAAGGGGCAACTCTCTGTATGTGTGTGTATATATTTGCCTCTTGTGTATAATATGTTTTATTCCAGTGCGAAATTTTATAATTTGTGATGTTTTGATGTTATAATTTAAGATTTTTATGGCTGCTTTTGTTTTTGTATTATGAATGGATGATTTCTGTTGTTTTTGGTTGGGATGATTACTATGTATATTGTATTTTTTTTTGTAAGCCATCCTGAATCTCTTTGGGGAGAGTGGGTGGGATACAAATAAGATGATGATGATGATGATGATGATTGTTATAGCATATTTATTGAATTGTAAGACATCCTCAATTATAAGAGACACCCTAATTTCAGTACCAACAACAACAAAAATACATAAGACCAGGCCCATAGCCAGGAATTCGATTCGGGGGGGGGGGGCTGAGTCTGGGTGAGTGGGGGTCTACTCTAGCAAACCTTTTGTATTGTTACCCCAATACCCCCATGGATATGGGATATATTGAGTATGGTGATCAGATCATGATATGAATAAACATAACCGTTTAAATAATGCACCAGTAAGGCCTTTTCGCGAACCACCATGAGAATTTCGGGGGGGGGGCTGAAGCCCCTCAAGCCCCCCCCCAGCTACATGCCTGCATAAGACATATCTGCCATTCTAGGAAACATCCCATTTTTAGTGATATTTATATATGAAAAAGTGTGTCTTAGAATGTAAGAAATACAGTGTGTATGTGTGTGCGTGTGCGTGTGTAAACACACATATGCACAGTATATATGCAGAGATGGACTAGTCAGGGTGTTCGCTTACCCAATGGCAAGTGACCCCCTTAAATATTAAACACTATATTAGAAATGTTAATGAACTTTTAGTTGATTGAAAACATAATAGAATTTCCAATATTATTACTGTGTGCAACTAAAATTTACATTGTATTACTATTTTAATAAAAAATAAAATATTTTTTCATTTATTCTCTATTATTTTTACAATATTTTATTGCTTCAACTTTACAATATCTTGCTTACACTTAGTTTCCAGTGGTTCTCATATTTATACATTTCATTTCCATGTAACATTGCTTTTATCTGCATCCTCTCTTTTCATACATCCTTCTCCTTTAAAAAAGAGAAAAAAGGAAAATAGGGAGAAAAACAGGGGAAAGATAGGTGACCTCCAGTTTATCCCAACCTAGTCACAAATAAAGCTAATATAATACACTAACACTTTTCTCATATTACAACAAATAACAAAAAATAATTTATTCTTCAAAACTCAGAATGGGCACACCCTTCTCTTCTCCATGCAAAAAGTGAGTAAAAGGTTTCCAGACTTTTAAAAAAAGGTTTCAATGTCCCTTCTTTTAGTAGATATGTTAATTTCTCCATTTCAGCTAAGTCCATTATCTTTATTATCAATTCCTCCGTTGTTGGTATTGGTGTATTCTTCCATTTCTGTGCGTAGAGTAGTCAGGCTGCTGTGGTCATATACTGCCATAGTCTATCCTTATTATTTTTATCAGTCAGACCAAGTAGAAAAGTCTCCAGTTTTAGCTGGATACTTCCCCAGACATTTTCTGGATCACTGTGTGTATATGAATCCAATATTTTTGGCATGTTTACATGTCCACCACATATGATAGGAGAACCCCACTTGTTGTTTACATTTCCATCCAATACTGGAGGTCTTTATATATCTTATAGAGGTTTTCACATGTCATATACCACCGGTACAATTTATACAAATTCTCTTTTAAGTTATAACATAACATGAATTGTAACCCTTTATTCCACATTTTCTCCCATTGTTCCAACATTATATTGTGCCCACTTTATCATGCATTCTTTAATGTACAGGGTGAGGCAGTATAACTTCCTTTTTTCAAAACTTAATAAAACCCATTGTATGAATCAGAATTTTTTTTGTAATGTAGGTGCATACCTAAAGTTTTGTTTTACGTAGTTTTGAAGATCAAATTAGGTAGGTGACGTCCCCCATTCTCCATTCTCCATACACTGAGTAAACCGATTTCTAGTGTTTGTCATGACTTGCCAGCATAGCAGACGTTCTTCCTGGATGTTGGTCTTCAAATCTTGTAGGGTCCTTGGACTGTTCACATAAACACGGGATTTCAAAAAAACCCATAGAAAAAAATCACAAGGGGCCAAATCCAGAGAGCGGGCCGGCCACTCCAAATCCGCTCGAAAAGTAGGCCTCAATGGCAAAAGCACGCTCCTCACTGTTCCAGCGCATGGTGGTGACTGAACTGTGTCAGGACAAAACTTTATACTCCTGCCTCTCAAACGAGACCACTAGTGCTCCGCTACGTCTTCAACCGACTGAATGGCGCGCATTTTAAAAAAGGAAGTTATGCTGCCGCACCCTGTTACTTATCTGCCATTTCCCATTTCAATAACATTTTATACATTTTAGCAATTAAATGTTTATCATTCATACATAATTGTAACTCAAATTCCTATTTATTTATTTTTCAAACCCAATGGACTGCTTGTTTTGTCTGAATCTCTCCATTAAAATAAATAAGAAAACAGTTCTCTTGTTTTGATTATAATTCCCCGTGTACATTTTCTAAGAGATCTTGATATGTTAACCATTTCTTCTTACCTTGTCTTTCTATAAGAAGCTTCTTACACATATATCCACTCTGGGATCTTCGGATGTAAGATTGATTTATATCTCTCCCATATTTGTACTAAAACACTTCTAACATAATGGTTTTGAAATCTATATTCACTTTCAATATTATCATACCACATGTATCTGTGCCACTCAGATCTCAGATAGAAAATATAATAGAAGTTACAATATTATTAATGTGTGCCATTAAAATTTATGTTGTATTACTATTTTACCAAAAAAAACCCCAAAAAAAACATTTCATTTAGTTTTAAGAATACAGTGGGGCCTCAACTTAAGAGCATCCAAACTTAAGAGCATCTTGATTTAAGAGCTGTTACTTGGCCCAAGTTTTGCTTTGACATACAGGCAGTGCCAGAGGGAGCGCTAGCGCCAGAGTATGGGGCTTTATGGCTTCAAGGGAGCAGCATCTGTGTCTTATGTCTCGTGCTCTCATCTTCTTTTAAGCTTAGTGCACACTGCACATAGCAGATCGAGAGAGGCAAAGTAAGGGTCATGTTCAAGAAGATCCAATTCCAGTACCTTTTGGACGTGCACCTGCATTCATGTTTTTCAGCACTAGTTTTGGTTTACAATTACATTAATAATAGAGACTGGAATTCACATTTTTAAGATTCAAATTGTTTGTATTCATTTGAATATAGTAAATCTTCAGCTTCTATCTAGCTAAAACTGATGGATCTTTTTTTTTTTATTCTTCAACAGTGCAGCAGGAATTTGACCCTGCTCAATCCTTAGGAAGATAGTTATCAAAGAGATTTCAAGTCTCCTCTTCTGGAATCCATATTTCTATAAAATTAAAGACAATAATACATCCTGCCAAGATGGAGTAGCACACAAGTCTTGCTGCCAATCTTCTTTGTTTGGCCAACTGTTATGAAGATCACATACATAATTGAAATAAATGAAAAGCCAATATATATTTTCATCTTTTATCAGCTGTGGCAATTGTGTTGACTTTTAGCTTCTGCAGACTGACATGTGGAAGTCTCTGCGTAAATGATGCCAGGTAACTATTTTCAGAAAAGCATTTTAAGAAGATTAGAAGAAACAGAATATCCAGAAATTCAGCTCAGTTTATTCATTCTGTATATTCAGAATTGTCAAATACAAAAATGCATATTTACATTTTCTTGTGATACCAGTCTTGACATTTGGTCACGTGGTTGCCTTTTTCCTGGGGAACAAGAAATGCAGTTCTGGTGCGCCTTCTCTTTACTAAGCTTTTTGTCTTATATTTAGAGTGCGAACTAACAGGGCTTTCAGTTTTGGATTGCTCAAAACTAATATTATGGTGTGTGCTGAAGGAAATATAGTAAGAAGGACAGCAGACAAAAGCTCATTAGGATCAGCAATGGACACATAACCACTTGCAAAATTTAGCATTCCAGCAAAATATAAAAGGTAGAAGAAAATATAAAACACCAAAGGCTTCATGACATTAATATGGATCTGAGCATTTAGGTCTTTTGCACCAATACCACTCTTTTTCAGATTCCTTGTGTGTTTCCACAGAGAGATGAGCAAAAGAATGGTTGCAGTTATGCTGATGATGAAATTCATGGAAGCAACAATTAAATGAAAACGACGAAAAATAAATAATAAGGCTTGGCAGTCCTTTCTTTGGGTGATGTTCACTGTCAGATTGCACTGCTTTTTTTGTTCAATGTAACTCCTGAAGAAGGGAACGGACATGACCACAAGACTGCTTATTGATACTCCAAGCAGCCTAATGGAGAGCACATTGATCCTTGGCTTCAGCCAGAGTAAAAAGCGGTTGGCAAAGTTGGTGACCTTCACACAATAGAACACACTAAGCCATGAAGCACACCAGAGGCTGGCCATGCTAGAAAAAACCCAGACAAAACCGATAACTTCCCATGCAAAAGGATCAATAAAGGTGTCACCAATTCTAACTTCCAAAACATAGTTAAGTCCAACAGTTACATGCAAAAAAATTCTGAAGATGCTCAAACTAGTCAAGAGAAAATCAGAAGGGGCAACCTTCCTGGTTTGGAGCCATCGATTCCCACTCACAACTATGATAAATCCATTTCCTAATATGGCAAGCATGGATATACTTCCGATAATGATCCATGTAAAGATACCCAATGGAGAAATTAAGTTCAAATTCGTTATTGCCATTTTCTGAGGAAAATATCTGTGAAGAAGTTCCCGATTCTGATTCCAATTCTGATTCTGATTGATTCTGTTTCAGGTCTGCTGTAGGAAACTGCTGTTGGGGGCCTCTTGGGTGGTTATATCATGTGACAGAAATAAATGCAAATAGTTGTAGGATTCTGTTACTAATGACCCAACTCCCAACTAATGTCCCACTGGGACATATAGAGAATCAAATAACTTGAATTTGCCTCACAAATAAAAGGGAACAATCCAAGAACAAGGTAAGGACATGGTAAAAAGTTGCTGGAGAGTATTGTCAAGAGTGGTTCTTTCATTTTGTGGCAAAGTCTATAATTGTTAGACTGTTTTATCAGCTAAAAGGCTTCTGTGTCCTTTTGGTAAAGTTTTCTTTTCCATAATGCGAACAACAACAAGAGGAACATGAAAAGATGATAAATAGAACAAATGTGATTTTGAAACGATGCTTGTGCAAAGAAATATTCAAAAAAATGGCTTCAGAGAATTATAGTATGATAGACTGCACTGGCAAAGATTTTCAGTTAAATGTGGAAGAGTAGTAATGAAGAACCATGGCACAGAGGAGAAGAGGTGGAGGAGGTGACACCATTGCCACCGTAGACCTTTCAGTCCAATCCTTCCCTACTGTCAATCCAAGAAATCCATCCATATCATCCCCAACACAAAGGTGCCCTATTTACTTTTGTCCACCTATGGCCACCAAGTATGGTCAGTTCTCTTGTGTTTCAGGGAATTCTCCTTTTGGGTTTGTCCTAAAATACAGTTGGCCCATGACACCCTCTGGAATTTGGTTCCAGGACTCCCAGTGGATATCAAAATCCATGGATACTCAAATCCCATTATATATCATAGCACAATAAAACGGTAGATTTTATATAAAATGGCAAAATCAAGATTTGCATTTTGGAAGTTTTAAATCATAATTTCAAGCTGTGGATGGTTGAATCCATGGGCCCAAAATCTATGGATATAGGGGGCTTGGTGTGTGTGTATACTATTTTTCTTGAATTGTAAGACATCAGCAATTATAAGGCGCACCCTAATTTTGGTACCACCACCAACAAAAATACGTAAGGCATACCTGCGATGATAAAACATATCTTGTTTTAGACATATTTATATACGAAAAAATGTGTCTTAAAATGTAAGGAATGCAGTGTGTGTATGTGTGTATGTATATATATATATAGTATATATACAGGAGTGGACAAGTCAGGGTTTCCCCTTGCCCAATGGCGAGTGAACCCCCTTAATCATTAAACAATATATTAACAATGTTTATGAACTTTTAGTAGATTGAAAATACAATAGAAGTTCCAGGAGTGTTTGCAAATGACATTCACCACAGTGCTGAAAATATTTTTGTGCAATTTTAATAAATTATGGTGAAGACAAATATACAAAAATGGCTTTAAAGAATTATAGTAGAATGGACTATACTGGCAAAGATTTTCAGTGAAATATGGAGGAGGAGCAATGATGAACTATGGCACAGGGGAGGAAGAGGTTGAGGAGGTGACACCATTGCCACTGTAGACGGTAGTTTCAGTCCAACCCTTCCCTACCAAAAATGTGATATTGGTTTAAATGTTTTTAAATGTTTTGATGTAGAATCATAGAATCATAGAGTTGGAAGAGACCTCGTGGGCCATCCAGTCCAACCCCCTGCCAAGAAGCAGGAAAATCGCATTCAAAGCACTCCCATAATATTGGAATAAAATACTATTATTAAATAGTATTTTATAATTCTATTTAAAATGCTCGCTTTAATTGTATGTGTGTGTGTGTGTGTGTGTGTGTGTGTGTGTATATATATATATATATATATATATATATATATATATATATACTGTCAATCCAGGAAATCCATCCAGATCATCTCCAGCACATAGGTGCCTGACTTCCTTTTGTCCACCACATATATAGGCAGTTGGTTCCATTATTACTTAACGGCTTTTACTGTCCAGATGTTTCAATCAAAATCTACACTCCTGTAATGTAAAGCCATTAGACCTAGTCCTACTTTCTCCAGTAGCAGAGAACAAATGAGGTCTTTCCTTCTATTACAAGCCTTGTGATATTTATAGAGTCCAATCATGTCACTTCCCTGTCATTTCTTCACCCAGCTCAATTCTTTCAAACTTTACTACTTCTTTGCCCTCCATACCTGTTATCAACCTTCCTCCTTCTTTTCTGTCCTTCTCTGAACTTGATCCAACTTCTCTATATCCTCTCTAAAATGAGATGCTCAGAACTGAACACAATACGAGTGCAATAGCACCCAAGCTGCTTTTCAGCAAGGAACCCCACAGAATCAATGTCCACACTATTGCTTTCACAAAATGGTAACAATTTATTAACTGGTCTAGGAGCCCCTGGTAGCACAATAGATTAAACCCTTGTGCCGGCAGAATTGAAGACCAACAGGTCGGAGGTTTGAATCCGAGGAGAGTGTAGATGAGCTCCCCCTGCCAGCTCCAGCTCCATATGCGGGGACATGAGAGTAGCCTCCCACTGTTGGGGTTCAGCCTGAGTTTGAACTTGAACCTGATTCTCTGTTTGTTCCTCCTGATGCTAATGAAAATATATTTACTGATGCTAATGAAAATGTACCTCTTGATGCCAATGCTCCTGAAATTAGTGAGGAAGAAACTGCTGTAGGTTTAGAAAATGCCAATGTTCCTGAAATTAGTGAGGAAGAAACTGCTGTAGGTTTAGAAAATGCCAATGTTCCTGAAATTAGTGAGGAAGGAACTTCTGTAGATTTGGAAAATGAAAGTCCCAGTGTTCATGAGAATGTTTCAGAGGGAAGCCTTGACCTTTCCCTCCCTTCTGCACCTGGTAACTTTAATGACAACAGAAGGGGCCAGATTTGGCAAGACAGAAGTAAATCACTCAGCTTGCGAAGGTCTTCCCGAATTAAAGAATTACAAACATTGGCTTCAAAGCATAGGGGCGGTTCACGGAACCAATTCTTTGGCTTTAATTGCCTTCCGCTGGGCTGACTTTCTCAGTTCAGGCATTGTTTCAGATTAATGAAGACCTTGACAGTTCTCCCGGTTTCCCCTGGCCATGGTTTTGAAAGATTTCTAGGATATCAAGTACGGTTAGTGGATTGCTAACAGGTTCCAGTATTTTACAGTGTGGCTTTGGGTTTTGCTTTGTCCATTTAAATTCATGTTTGCTGATTTTGCTGTGGCTTTTGACTTGCATTTTTCCTTTATTTTGTAATCATTTCTCTTCAATAAAAAAGGATTGTTTTTCACAGTCAAGTGTGGTGGATAGTTATCTTAGGGCCTCGTTCCCAGCTCTGGATTGCAACACACACAAGGATGGTCAAACATCAAAACATACAGGTGTTCCCTGAGCTGCTTGAATGATTGTATCATGCGACAGAAAGAAATGCAAATACTCGTAGTTGTAGGATTCTGTTACTAATGACCCAACTCCTAACTAATGTCCCACTGGGACATATAGAGACTCAACTTGAATTTGCCTCACAAATAAAAGGGAACAATCCAAGAACAATATAAGAACAATGTAAAAAGTTGCAGGAGAATATTTTCAAGAGCAGTTCTTTCATTCTGTGGCAAAGTCTACAATTGTTAGACTGTTTTATCCGCCAGAAGGCTTCTGTGCTTATTTGGCATAAAGTCTTATTTTCCAAAATGCAAACAACAACAAGAGGAACATGAAAAGATGATAGATCGAAGAAGGCTGTAATGTTTGCAAAAAAACATTCAGCACAATTTTGAAAAGATGTTTGTGCAATTTTAATAAATTATGTTGAAACAAATATTCAAAAAATTGGCTTCAAAGAATTATAATAGAATGGACTGCACTGGCAAATATTTTCAGTTAAATATGGAGGCAGATCTGTCATGTATCATGTTCCGCAGTTGATGGTGGTTGGTGGTCTTAGGCCTAGCAGTTGGTGATAGAAGGGAGTAATGTAAGTCTTCGTTCTAAAGGGCTGAGTAATCTGTGAGTAAGAGTTTACAGGTGAAAGCAGTTAAAGCTGGAGGTATGCAAGAGAGTGTTTGCAACTGGGTTTTACTGGTTATAAGGAGCTAGCCTGGAGACTGAGCTTGGAAGAGAAGTATTTGTCTCATTTTGGTGGTGGGTGCTTTCCCCCCCCCCCCCCTCAGATTTGTGGATTTTTGGTATCCTATTGCCTGAACTCTGGAACCTTGAATCTTTGGATTGGCTTTTGACTGCAGTATAGACTCTTGATTATTGCACTTTACTCATTGAACTCTCGGCATTTGACCACTGAATTGGGCCCTTTGACTACTGTGTTCTCTTGAACCTGCATCAACGTTTGCTATTATCAAGGTTTTCCCGTATCTCTTTCCACTCTGTTTCATAATTGTTCTTCAGTAATTGAGAGTTTTTTGTCAACAATGATATACCCAAATATTTAATTTTATTTACTATTTGTAATCCTTTAATATCTTTCAGTACTTCTTGTTGTTTTTTTTTCTCTTTTGAGATATTTTTTGTTAGGATCATCATTTTCAGCTTATTTATTTTAAAGCCAGACACTTGCCCAAACTATTCTATTTTATCCAACTATTTCTTTGTATTGTCTACCGGATCTCCTACTGTGCAAATTAGGTCATCGGCAAATGTTTTTATTTTGTATCTTTCTTTGTTAATTTCGATGCCCCTCAAGTCATTATCTTCCCATAGGCCATTCAACAAGATTTCCAGGGATAGTATAAAAAAGCAGGGAGAGTGAGCAACCTTGTCGCATTCCTTTTTCCACTTTTATCTTATCTGCTTCTTGTCCATTTACCAGTATTTCCACCTCTTAATGCATGGTGAAGGTATTGACACACCTAAGTGGGATCCCCTGGGAGGGGGTCTGGTTTGGCAACCAGATGAGGGAATGCTCCCAGGAAAATACTAACATAAAATCTTGCCTTACCTCCTTGTTAATTGCAAACCTTTCCAAACAATACACTCTTGTTCTGAGTGCA